CAGCAGGAAAATCAATATTCACATATGTCATGACTGATTGCTATTGTCACCCAAATAAGTACTCACTAAAGTCTGTTGATAAGCGGGGGTTTAGGTTCTAACTATGTTTATTACTTTAGTAAAAGAATATCACTAAAGAAAATAAAGTATTATTGACAACTTATTTCTTAACCGAAGCCATTGAAATATTATTCACCTTCTAAGATTGAAATACAAAAAAATTAACAGAATTTGGTTAGAAATAATTGTAACACTATACTATGACTTAGTGTTGTATGTTGGGTGAGTTTTAGAGGGACTCTTACTTGAGATTTAGTTGACTCTAAGGAAAGAAAATATATAAGTTTTTTTCTAAATATTGAGCTTGATAAACTCAACTTCCTAGGGAGATAAGAGAGAAAATAGAATGAGAAACTCTATAATTTTGAAACTTTTTTTCTTTCTTATAGATTTCCTGGAGGCGTGAGAGGTTTCTTTGATCCTTAGTGTAGTGATTCAGACATTCGAAGGCTGAGAATCTTAGTTTGGGTGGTTGCGAAGTTTGTGGAAACTTGAAATTCTTCCTCCTCCTCTTCTTTAGTTTTGGTTGGCTTTGAGTTGAGGTAAGAGAAGCTAGGAACTTTGATTTTTTGTGAATTGATGATCTATATGTTGATTGATTTCACATGGAAACGTTGCTGGGCCGGTGTGATCCAGATTAAATGATTGGGGTTAGGGTTTATTACTTGTAAAGCATGTTTGAGATGAAATTGTTGAATGGACCAAATTGGTGGTTATATGTTGGATTATGGTGCAAAATGAGTTATGGATGATGCATATATGTTATTTAATGCCTTGCATGTTGGTATTTCCTGTGTTTCAAGTGGATTGAAGCAAATTTTGAAGTTTGCAATAATAAATTTCTAATGTCGCATCGGACATAGTTCTAATCAAAGATCTCTGTCTCAATCACTCCAAGCATAGGATCGATGGAACTAGGCGTGATGAGAGAGACTTGTTTCGGGTAAGGATGGTGTCGGGTGTGATTTGAATGACACTAAATGTGAGAGCATTAGAAAGTCTTTGACTTGGTAATGTTAGGCCCCAAATTGGTTGGCTCTAAACATGAACAAGGTAGAGACTCTCTACCTAAACGACATTGGACGCAAGTGAGGTGACGTTGGGTGTCAGTCAGATAGAGACTCTTTGCTAGATGTGAGGTCGAACATGGATTTTACGGCGCCAAGCATGAGGTCCTAAGGGTTCCTACCTTAGTCACACCAAGCACAGGTTGATTGACATTGAGCGTGGACGAGATAAAGAGCTCGCTACCTCAATGGCACTGAGCGCAAGGTGAGTTGTGTCAGGTGTGGATTTTGTTGATGATACGTGTTTTTTGAGGGGTGATTTGGTGAACATGAATATAATACTTATGTCTATTGGATGTTGTATGATGTAGGGTGATGATAATAAGCGTTGATATGTTATTTATGATTTATGTTATAAATTGCATGGTTAAAGTGTTGAACAAGCATTGATATGTTATTATTGAATGAATTGTTAAGCATTAATATGCTATACTTGGATGTATTGTTAAGCATTGATATGCTATTCTTAGTTTAGGTGTTAAACCTTGGTATGTTATACATGATTGGTGTGATTTGATCTTTATATGCATTAACCTGGGTAATGTATATGATGTATATATGTTGAGATGTTGATGCTAAAAATGTTGTGGGCATTAAAGTATATATGTTGATTGACTTAGGATTAAAGGAGAGGATATTGTTTAGAAAGTTGAAAGGCCCATATAGGAAATATTGTTTTGGGGCTCTAGGAGTCCAATTGTTGAAAACTCTCCTTGAGTGTATACGAAAATCTTGGACTAGATTTTGTTAAGTCTCCTCTTAATCCTTAATCAATGTGGAGTAAAGTATTAAGTCAAGGACTATTACCCTTAACTGGTTACTCGAAAGCTTGTGTCGTTCCATACAAATAGTTAGTGGGTTAACTCCATAAGTAACTTGGTAATACATGTCAAGGTCATGATATGCCTATATTCAGCTATACTAATTTTGACGATGGATCCAGATTTTCCTGGTGTAACTGTTGACACTTGAGAAATCATAGGTAAGGATTGGTATCCCATTTTAGTAGTCGATCCAACATGTGCATTGGACATGAAAGTGATCTGGTTGATTCGGTAGGATCAAGCCAATTAGACTACTCACGTGCATTAGGAGATCTCCATAAATGAATACATGATGACACATTAGATATGTTTGCATATGATGTGGGATAATGCTCATATGCATGGTGTGAATACATTGATGTGTGGTATTATTGTGATGAATGTTGAATTTTCTTGGGCATTTAACTTTTAAACATGTTGGTGTTGTGTTGTTTGGAGAATGTTGTAGACTATGCGGTGTGTTTTGGGTTGGTTTACATATTGATGAGTAGTATAAATATTCCTTCATATACTTGTATGTTTTTGAAATCTAACTTACCTTTGTATATTTTTCATGTGGTTTGAACTGCGATGATCATGATTTTTCATAGGAATAGGACAAGGTTAGCTGGAGAGAGCTTTTGGAATTGTAGTGAGGATTGTTATTGGCGATGTAGTTGACGACTACTTTTGTTGGTCTGTATAGACATTGCTTAACTGAAAATTTAAGGTTTTATATTTTGTACTTACTTGATTATACTGTACATATACCTATATAGTTATTTTAGTTATATCTACATATATACCTTTTGTGTACATATCCTGATATTGTGAGTATATAATCTTAAGTGGTAGTTGTAATTTCGTTACTTGTAGTTGTGATCCGTAATTTGATAATCATGATGAGTCGTTACAATAATAATGTTTTGTTTAAGAGAAATATCTTTAAAAAAAGTTTAAGAGAAATATAAACTAAATAAACAATAAAATAAAGAATAAATAAAAATCTTTGTAAAATCAAATTTTAAATAAATAATCAAATTTTTTATTTAATCAATTAAATCAAAATTTAATCGATCAATTAATTAATAAAAATAAACGATTTTCATTATGTGTATGCATAGGCACTTGCACTTCTTGACTAATGAATTTTTATATATTTTGAGTATAGTTTAAATATGACAGATTAACATAAATGTGTGCTCACATGTTTAACATAAATTAAATCTCGTATTTGATCATTTTTGTGTGCAAAAATTCTTTAAACCAATAATAATCATTATATCATAAGTGCAATTAGTCACTAATTCAGTAAATTAAATTTACTCGTTACTATAGAACAAGAAATAAAGTTTTCTTCTATGAAATAACTAATAACCAATTGTGTTCCATTCATAATTGATTATAGTGCTATATATGAAACGTGATTACTGTGCAATGACGTTAAAGAGGTGACGTAATATGCTAATTTTCCACTAGTGATGGTTACTAAATCCTAGAGTATAGTCTTATATATATATATATATGAGGGGAGTTATAATTACACCGTGTAACTTTTACTAAGTATTACACCACTCAATAACTTTATATTAATTGTGAATTTTGTAAATCCAACCGTTAGATTGAAAGTTCATATTATTTTATTCGCGTATATCAAATTTTGTTAAAATTGAAGAACAACTTGAAGATAATCAAAATATTTATATTTTAGTGTATTTTAAAATAAATATATTACGTCAATTTTGTTTTATAAAAATGAAGTATCAAATAATTTTGGATTAATATAAATTTTTGTATATATGATCTAAGAGATGTAAACTTCCAATCTAACGGTTAGATTTACAAAATTCACATTTAATATAAAGTTATTAAACGGTGTAATACTTAGTAAAAGTTATACCAGTATTATTATAACTCCCTCTATATATATGCCCTCATATTTTTATTTTGTTATTATTTTTTTAATAATTATAACATTAATATAAAATATTCACTATCAGAAATAATGACTAATTTAACGTGTATTCTTATCTATTTCGACTCAATTGAATAACCTAACTTTTTTTATATCTATTTATTCTTCTCTCCTATTTCTTTGCTATTATTCTTCTAACAAACAAGTAATACAAGAAACGAGAGGGTACAGCAAAAAAATTTATCACTAAAAGAAAATAAATGATCATTGACAATTTATCTTTTGACTGAAGCCGTTCAAATTTTGAAATATTTTTAGTTTCAAACCGTCAGAATGGATACAAATAGAGAATAAAGAGGAACTATTAAAACAGTCAGAATGGATTGTGGTTAGACTTTTGCCACCACTTATACTCGTCGCTACTACAGACATTAAAATTTTAAACAAGTTTGAATTTTTAGCCCACTATATCAAGCGGGCAGGACGGATTAATTCACCTACTTTTCTGTAGCTCAGGAGCGAGTTGACCTACTTTTTAACCCCTACAAATCACCGCTAAACATTTAAAATTTCATCGCAA